TGTAGAGAAGCGCGTCAGCGATCAACCCACGTCGACTGGTCTGCGCGTGAAGCTGCACGGTTGTGGACGAGCAAAGCGCACGCGCGCAAGCCTTCAAAGTGAAGGTGCATGTTAGCGCGTCGACTCTACACCGAGACGACGAAGAAGCGCGCAACATGGAGAGGAACCACGCGACCGCGCGTGACGGCTCAGGACCCGCGGCGAGGCCGCGGATGATGGCGTTCCAGTCATTGGTGAGAGGCTCGTGGATTTGTCGGAAGATCGCGACGGCGAATCCAAGATCGCCGGCCGGCGAGACGGCGCAGAGGTCGAGAAGGCGCGATCGGAGAGAGCAAAATTGGAAATGACCAGTCGTCAGGAGGTGGGCTTGGATCTGCTTGATGTGGCCGAGGGTTTTGCATCTCTGTATCAGCGTCTCGATGTAAACGTGAGCCATTCCATTTACTCTAAACTGAAACGGTGTGAAGTTGGGGTTTATACAAGCCCCGATCCGAATCATTAAAACGTTAACCATTCCATTGATGGAACACACAAACGGCATGAAGTTGGTGCTCTTTAAAGGAACATGAACCTGGGCCGGGTCCATTGGTTAATCGGGTCGGTTCTCGGGTTCCCGCTATGTTGCATTTTCTACTCTTTTTGTTCCGCCATTGATTTCAGACTTTCCGAGGCAACGAGCCGTCGCGGTGGTCCGACATCTGCGCAGCTCCTGAAATGGAGGGTCCGGCGGTCGTCACGGTTGCAGAGCTTGTCCATGTCGGTCGGGCCGTCACCGGCGCATCCTCTCTCTGCTTCTCAGCTTGTCGACCGAATTCCCACTCATCTTCTGTATCAGGAGCTCGTTATCCTCAATCGCCGGCATCTTCCGCCGATTCAGAAGTTATCTCTGAGGTTCTTCTGCCCTTTAACTATACCGCGATCCTTGTCGGGACACTAGCTCTTCCATCGGGAACCTTAGAGTGTCCGAACGGTTACTGTCTCCGATTCTCCGATGATAACTCGACCATATGTTGTGACGTCGTTGGCCTCGAAGTTCGCGCGATTGGGAAGAAAGTCTGTGTTCTCGCTTGGAATTTTCTTCCTATGGAGCACGGTGGTGGGTTTTTGGAGATCATCAAGTGGAAGCTTCTGGATACCGGTAAGTCACTAGACCGGTGTTCAGGTATAGGTTCATTTCCGTTGGATACTTGTTCGCGTTCACGACAAAAAGGTGATTCAAAGTCCCGTTATGGCGTCCATGGTGTCGTAGAATCCATCAGCCCCGTGTCCATTGTTCCTTGTTCCAGTCGTGGTAGTGCTAAGTCGGAGGATTCCAGTTGTCCTGTAAACCTTCGCGGATTTTTAGTCAGTATCATGGCTTGTGAGTGTGAGCTATGCAGTGCGAAACCAATGTTGAAATCGGTGGATAATGGTCACTCTTTTGCTAAACCCGTCTTTATTTACTTCTGTGGTTCCATGGCTGCCCGTTGGCACCCTGTGATAACAAAGCTCGTTGGCAGTGTTGTTGCTTTATCGGGCATGAAGAAGAAGTTGGTTTATGTAAGTAAAAGTGATTCTCTGTTGGTGTTTGTTACAACTGAGAAATCTGTTCTTCATTTACCCCCTTTCTTAGAGAAAGGGCATGGATCTAAAACTGTTTTCAAGAAGAGAAGCAAGTGCAGATCCTACCTCGGAATTGTAAAAGGTGTCTTCATGGGAGGGAAACTTGTTGAACTGGATGAAGATGTTTGGCTTTTACTAACAGACCGGACACATCACCGGCCCCACAGTGTTCGAGCTGGTTCTCTTGTAAGAAATTTGCTCTTGGTTCGTTTTAGCAATGTGATGCATTCCTTTGTTTGGGCATAGGAATCTGATTACTTTCTTTCTGGACGTTAGTCTTTAGGTCTTTGAACTTTTTGTTTTGCTGCAGATTCATGTTAGAAATGTGCATATTGTAAATACCAAATTTCCCTGCGGAAAATTGCTTATACTTGGGGCGTGCTTCAGGACCAGTATCACAGTTGAGGATTTTTCTCCTTTTGCGACGTGGTAGGGCTTGCTATAAAACTTTTGAATCCTGGATGCTGTTACTTATACCTGGCAGCTCATTCGATGTGTGCTGCAGTTGTCTTATAGAGTCTCATAGGCAGAGTTCTCTGAGACAGTTCATCGATTCATTGTCATTTCCTGCAAGATTTTGGTAGGTTTCACTCTGACCATTTTGCCAATAATTTTTTTAATCGATTTCAAGTTGTTTGATACAGTTTCAATACTATTGTTTGCAGGGCATTACTCGTCATGTCATGCTTCCAGAAATTATCTGAAAAGGAAATCTTTGGGTCGTATCAGGTAATTCACATATTGCTTCCATCGCAGAACTTCACGGTTCTTTGTTTTTCTCCTAGCCTTTTCATTTTCTCCTTTGTTGTAGCTCTATGATCTTCATCATTTTTGCGAGGTGTCATCAGACGGATGAGGTGATGAAGATATATGTAGAGTCACATATACCGTCGTCTATGTTTCAACCTAGGGTAAGTTGGTAAACTCAAAGTTCGACGAATATATAACTTTATACTCTTACTGGGGCTGCGTCCATGTTAATGAGGGTTTTTTTCTCTTCTAAATTCACAGCCTGGGCTTTTTCCAGAATTCTGCATGCGTGAATCATGTGGCCCGATCTGTGAGCCTCATGATTGCAGCCTGAAATTGGTGAGTTTAGGGGTCTCATAGATTGTGGTTAGATTAGCATCAGTTATCATCTGTTTGGCTGGCATGTTAAACAGTTTTGTGATTCCTGTTAGATCTTATGTTAAGTAGGTGATGCCAGTCTCAAGTTTCATCCAACACTACAATGCGATGCTGAATGAATGTCTTGTACGTTTGAAGAAAGATGGCAGTGTGTTTGGTACTAATAATTGCTTTAGCCATCCATCATCTGTGGAGAAGAGATATGGTCTTTCAACCATAAAGATTCTTAGAAGTGAAGATATCGGTGTCATCTTGCTTGGACGATTAAAGGTAATTTTCTTTCTGTTTTTGGTTTCCGAACTACAACTGTTTCTACTTTTATCTTTTTCCTTGTGTATGGCTTTGTGGTGTCTAGAAGCTTGCAGCTTACATGAATATTTACATATATGTTTCCTCGTTGTTGTTGTTTGTCATCAGAGTATTTAGATGTCTCCTTGATGATAGGTTTTATGTGTTATATGGATGAATGTTTTACCCAGAGTGCAGAAAATGCTCTGTAACCGTACTGTGTAATTAGATTTCTCATTTTCTACCCATTGTACGCTAGAAAGATAATTGCTTCTGTAGATTGGCTGAGATGTTATTCATCTTAATAGATTTCATCTTCTTCCGGAAGACTACAATTGCATGACGGAATTGCCTACATTGATGTTCTGGTGCCAGACCTTCCGAGTAATTTGAGTGCCAGCAAAATATATGAGGTAAGAAATTGTGTATCTCAAATTGCATTTTGTTCTTCCACCTGGCATATTTGGGATGGTATCAATCTCCCGACTCTCCTGTTGGCCATAATATATTAGATTTTATTCTATCTTGATTGTCTCAGGTTGCTGATTACTGCCTCATTATTGAGGGCTCGCCTGAAATTATGCTTCACCTGCCGTCTCTTTGCAAGCCCTTTTCCTGCAGAAGTGTGGCTAGTCACACTCCGTCAATTGTGGAAAGCACCTTGCCAGTGTGTCTTTCCCTGTGCTTCAGTTCTGCAGGTTGCAGAAATGTTCTCTTGGATCCTTCGTTAGGCTGGAGAAATCATCTCAATGAGCTCGATGGTGGATCCTTTCATATATTTAGGGTGACCCACAAATTTCCAGTACTGCAAAACGTATGGTTTTATTGCTTAAAGATATCCCTAATGTCATTCTTATTTAACACTCCTGCCAAGAGAGAGAAAACATTTTACATATTTTTTAATCGGGTGTCGATCTTGTATTAGGTTGGTACAGTGATGCCAAAGAGTTCTTCTGTTTTCATAGAGGCTATAATTTTCCCATGGGATCTCGTTTGCTCTGCGGTTAATGGAGACATGGCTCCAGTGCAACATCATGAAGGCATAACTTCCCCAGAAAAACATCCAAGAAAGAGATGTAAAACTGGAGATACATCACAGAGGGAACTAAGATCGTCAGTTCCAAGTATTGCCCATGAAATTTCCTGTCAGGTGACCATCAGAACTTCTAGTAATCACAGTTTAGTCACATCAGGAGTTCTGTGTAATGCTAAGAACAACAGAAGCAGTAACAAACAGAGTGTTAAAAGGGTCCTGCTGGAATTCATTTCTGAATGGGAAAAGTATTATGTAAGTTTTCATCTCTTACCATTTGATTCCTGTGAGGGCATAGCAATAATTATATGAGCTGAATAATACTTCTACATTCTCATCACAGGGGTTGCAGATTGGTCGGTGCTACTTGATGAAGCATAGCACAGAAGATTCTTTTTGTTTTGGTCAATCTGCCATATTTAACAATGACAAAATTATTTTTAGACCGAAAACACATATCTGGAGCCTGGACTTTATCTTTGATGAAGTTCACACACATGGCAGATCGACAGATGATTCCCCATTAACCAATGGACAAGATAGAAGTTCGCCAACTCAACCAATGGAGCCGCAATCGAATTTTTCGATCCTGCAACCTTGTTCAGATGTTTCACTTCGTCTCTCTAAAGATGCAAGGGGACTCTTTTCTGTATATCTCAAAGACTTGGAAGACCTTAATAGGCCAGTACCAATGGAGAAAGAAGTTTTTGCTCGGGGAACAATGACCACACATGGGTGGACTTCTATGACTTCTCCCTCAAGCAGTGTGTTTCCTGAAGGAAATTTAGCATCATTTAGCGGTGATGTAGTAGCAATCAATACGGATGAGACTTCTGTCACTGGCATTTCAACTGAGTATTGCATTCATCTTCTAGTCAATCAACAAAACGTGAGTACACATTATATTCTTCTTTTCTCCACCTAACCTGAGTGATGAACTGTATCTTGTAGCTCTTACCTAACTTCCTCTGTTTGCTTAGCAGGTAAAGGTTTTTGGTTCACTGAGCAAGCATTCGTACCTCACTGCATTTGGTCCTGGTGTTAATGCATCATTCTACAGGATTCTTGGACTGAGGTACCTCACTGCATTTCAACTGAGTATTGTTTGGAAGCAGCTATTGCTCACTTCGGTTTTTCTAAAGCAGTGAAACACCCTCAAAGCTTACATTATTGTTTCTCTAGGGAGAAACAGCAGTTTCTGCTGCTACCAGCATCTTTCATCAAAGTAAACTCGCTAAAAGCAACTGACCAACCGGTCACAAAGGATCCGACTGGTGTAGTTTCTTCATGTTTGCCCAGCGATGTGTCCCTCAAAGGCGCTTTAATTTGTGATTTACTAGCAGGAGACAAGGATAATCAGGCAGTAAACTTGAGCTGCAAGGCATGTTTTGGTGAATTATAACAAAATCGGTTTTATTCCTCCTCTCGATGACTTGTTTCAGAGGCCTTACTTTCAGACTTATGCTTCACTGTTTATTGATGCAACAGGTTATCTTGGTTCATCTTTTGATCCTCCAAAGGAGTTTAAATAGTGAGAACCAATCTGGACAAATTATCGACATTCCACTTGCCGGATTTGTGATAGGTAAGTCACCTCGTTTCTTGTAGGGAAGACTAGCAGGGCATATAATACGGATTCGTTCAACTATAGGAAGATCAGCCGAAAAATTACTGTGCAGAGTTAAGTGCGGAAAATTGCATCTGATTTATACACAATTCGATCAAGTGGCACTGTCTTATATTTTATTTTTTATTTGCTTTCATTGTTTGTTTCTTCTTCTTTCTGTTTTCCTCTATCTGATTGCGTCGGATATATAATGAATCTACTCTTGGTATGTCCTAGAATACCCATTTCTCACAATTTGTTTGATATATATATATATTGCTCACTCTTTCTCCTTTCTTGGCTTCTGCTTTTACTGGTTCAGACGATGGATCATCCACTTGTTTATGCTGGGCAAGCGGGAAAAGGGCGTACACACTTCTAAGGCTGCATGAAGAGATCCCTCAGAAAGCCATTTACAGTGAAACATGGAACAGAAGGGACAGTGGCCGGAGAAACCTGTCGTACCATCTCGAAGGAATTCTTCGGAAGCACAACAAACTTGTGGTGAAGAGCAAGGGATTACAGGTTGATACACTTTTTCAAGATGTCACAATCTCCGTTGGCTCAAATCAGCCTCTCACCGACTCAGATGATAAGTTCATCAAGCACCTCTTGCTAAACGGCATCAGTGGCCCCAACATTTGGGTAAAAACTTTTCGACCCCTTTTCCTTCTCCATCATTTTGCATTCAAAATTGTTCTTGCCAATGAAATTGGTCCTAGTTGTTGGAATATGGGCCCGAATGGACCTGGGTATCCGAACGGGTATTCATCCCTTGGGTACCTGAAATTTGGGTACTCTGGTCGAGGCCGAGCACGAGGTTAGTTGGGTTCATGACGTCGGAGAACCCGGGCCACGGGTTTTTCAGAGCTCTTACACATTACATTCGCTTCTCGTTAGCAGACTGTTAAGGCGAGGCCTATGGACGGGGAAGCGATAAGGAGGGTGGAGAGGGAACAGTGCGTGGGCATGAAAACGACAAAGCTTCCGTTGCCGAATGTTTGGGGAACTGAAGTGTCGAGATTGGATCCCTTGGCCCGAGCCAATACTTTGCTTCATGGTTTGCTTAACAGGTGAGATAGTATAGTAGTACATATTATCACCGCCATTCACGTGATTGCGTTCGAGTTCGCGTTCGCGTTTGTCTATCAATGATTCCACCAAACTCGAGTCTGTATAACAGCGTTTGTAATTGTAATTGCGTTCTGGTCCATGATTGCGTCTCTTTACCCTTTTGTTAACAAAAAATGCTTTCCCTTTTTATCTTTGGTGTATCGTTGATGATTGTGTGTAAAAATTATTACAACTCCAATTTTTGTTTAGTTAATTAAATCCCATTTTTCTCAATTATATAAATTCTAATTTCTATAAAATTTCAAATTTCAAATTTCTTTAACTGTGTTAATGCGATGAACCAAGCAATTTAATTCATTCTAAAATCAACATGAGATTTATTGTCTTCCCTAAAGGATTCGGTTGGTTGCTATATACATTACATATAATGTAAAATAATGAAAAAAGAGGGCTGCTTTTGTCATAGTGCCCTATCCCACATCGGACAAGAACAGAAGCGTGCGGAGCAAATAGTTCATACAAAACGAGGCTTTGGAGCAGTGGATGTTTCTCACGGAAGCCGTGCGGTGAGCACAGAGCGAACTATTCTTTCGCCTTTTACTAAAGGATACCGTGTGCTCGCCATCTGAATCGGCGTGCCCCTATTTTTGGAGGGATTTGCGGTCTCGATTGCAGCCCCATCAACTCAAGTGTTGTCAAAATTTCAAATTATTACATTAAAAAAAAAACAGGTAGAATAAAACACTTTATAAAAGGGGCATTTATATATTGGAAGAATCCAACTCTACTTTTGAAAATAATTGACAACATACCATACAACAGCAAACAGGGGATTTAGCAAAAAAAACTTGTGTGACTTCAGTCAGCCAGTCGCTGAAATCCCCACAGTGGCTCCATCTGGATGTGCCTGTCGTTGTTTAGACTCCAACTTTGCCCTTCGTTCTTCGTAGGAAGCTGTCGGAAATTTGAAACAGGAAACCTGTGAGACTGATGTACGAACCCCGAATTCGTATCTGCTGCGACATAGAAGACTTACGTTCGGTTGGTCGAGATAATATCGGAACGTGTGCTACCGCCCCTTTCTTCTTTCTGTCCATGGCATTACAAGAGCTCTGATCTATGTAACAGAGAAAAACGAAACCAAAAACCGGAAAACATCATTAGAAATGAAAATTTCTTTCTGCAAGTCATCTAACTTTGGTAGATAATGGGGCAAAGGGTATGATAAGGAGCAGTTTATATACCGTTGTTTGAAGGCAACCATAACTGGATAGCCTCATGGAAGATCGCTGACTGTAGTCGGTATGATAAAGATTCACACTTCAAGTGTGAGCGCAGCGCGAATGCGGCATCTATGTATAGGCACAGCCCGAGAAATTTTGTGAAAGAGGAAGAAGGAGAAAATGGTTCGTCAACTTTGAAAACAATACGAGAAAACCCCAAGTACCTGAAGAACAAATGAAGTTGAGATGTTGAAATTCGCATGACCGGAGGACTAACGGGATTTCAGGAGCCATCTTGTATTGGGGCTTTCGCGGTGTCCTCTCGATATCCAACAATGAATCTATTACCTGCGTGTTTGATCAAGTAAATGTTCAGATGTAATAACAGAAAACAGAGTTCAAGGAGCAGGATAGATCCATATACAGGTCATGAAAGTGGATTGAATTCTAAATGTGATCATCAAAGAATCCTAAGGTTTTAGTATAAATTGTCTTAAAATCGGTCTGGCTGTGTTTATTTACGCCACCATTTGCATTAAACAAGTGCGGAAGCCACAGAATGGAGATGTCAAAAATCACTAAGGCCTGAAAAATTAGAAATCTTTTCGAAATTAGGTAAAAAGAAATGTTTCGATGGAACTGGAGCCAAAGTGGAAAGCTCGCAACTAGAAGAAGCAAAAGCTCATAGACAAAGGCTACAGCCATAAACTCACACACTAAATCTACAGCTAACATATTACCCAATCTATTTTTAATGAAGAATTGGTTGGGAAAAAACGGAAATGGAAAGAAAAAACCATGAAGGCGCCTGAGCACTTACATCAAGGGATTCAGCACCCTGGCCGATCATGAATAGCACAGCAACCATACAGCGGATTTGGTGCCACAGAAATGCACTACCTCTGATTGTAAACGCACATAGCTGATCATCACCCTCAGAACTGTAACCATAGAAATGAAGGAAAACACGCACAGGTTTTCACACCAGCCAAGAGAACAGAAGTGCAAAGTGCAAACTTAGCTTTGAATGGTTACGACACATTTAGCATCTATGTCACTCAGGTTCAAACTTGAAACCCCCCAATTCACCACCCTACAAACAATTATCTCTTCTTTGGAAATTAGGGCAAAATTCATTTGAGACAACCATATTTTGGCTAAGGCAATAGTATTCTAGGTTAATACTTTGAGGCATTATATCTCCAACATAGACTAGGAGTCTAGGAGAAAGAGAAATTTGTCCAAAGGTGATTTTACCCAATCCGACCTATTGTGACAAGAAGAAACTTCAAAGAATGTAACACGTCGTTTGTAGTTATGCACATTTGCCGCATCCATCTTGCAAAAGTTCCTGAAGTCATGCTCCCCGATGAACTTTTTACCAGCAATATCCATGGCCTGGCAGGGAAAAGCAAATGAAAATAAGCACCTTTGTTGTCCTAAGCACTCAGACTTTATACACACAGAGAATAGATCACCGCACCGAGAGATCCAAACTTTCTCTCCAAAAGAAATATTTGTACTCTCTAGCCAAACAACTGAACCTGGCCAAAAGGGAAAACCCAAAATATTGAGTGCGGCCTCCAATGAATTTCAATAGATGATTTGGAGTTGAAAGCCAAGGATGTGATCAAAATAAATCCAAGGTAATGAGACAGACCTTGCATGAAAATCTAGTGGAGCAGGACACCATCCCATAACCCGGATGTCATCTGGAAGAGCACGATTCAACACTCTTACATAATCTATTTCTCCCTCTAAACAAGAGAAAGAATGAGTCTATAGGGAAGCTGTGATATATGATGGGAAACAAAAATAGTATGCACAATGTCAGTCTGCAGCTATAGTTAGTCTCACCAATTTGCTCATCCGAGTGGGAAACAATGTTTTCAAAAGGTGGCTTGAGTTTTGATCGAATAAACAGAGCAATCACCTGAATCGACCAATGAATACGTGTATGAGAGAGCATCTCACAGACCAACAATAGCAGGGACACCGCATGAATTCGGTTTTTGAAAAATATAATATTAGATGATTCATTATGATTTCATGGACACAACCGAGAGAAATTATATCATATCCGCTATCGGTGCCAATGCAAAAGTTGAATTCCCGAACAACCCACCTGTCCTGTGGATGAAACACCCTTATCTGTCCTGCCACACCTTGAGTAACAAGATTCCTTCTTATCGCCAACCAAAAGTCTTGTCTTCTCGAGTGCCTTAAAAATTTCTGACTGCAGGAAATTACTCATTGTGTAAGCAAATCACCGAGTAAGTACTAGTTGATCTTTCTCTACCGACCAATAAAATGAAGAGAACATATAAAAAACCACCTCAACAGTTGGTTCCATCTGTGCTTCGGATGCAAAACCATAAAACCTGTAAGAATGAAAGATTCACTTGTCCATACGAATGGTAACTAAGTTTTTTGGAGAGAACACGAAAGAAATCACCCATATGACACACCTCTTACCAAAATACATGACCTTTAGAGCCACATATCTCTTCGCAATAAGATTGCTCGGAATTTTATTAACATCTCCTGTTCTAACTTTCTTGCTTCTCACAACTAAGCTACCAGCATCTGAAACTAAACCCTCATGCATCACTTCCATCTATGACACAAACATGAACACATACAGATTCTTAGTGATACTGAATGAATCATTTGATGTGACACAAAGGCTAATACAAGTGAAATGCCCACCTGCTGACACTTACAGCTTGAAACCCGGGACAACAAACTGCCATTTTCGATCTCTAATTCCTGATAAGACATTGAATAGACGACAACAGATACACTAATTTGTCAGAATTCACCATTAAGCAGGTGGAATCGCCACTTTCATGGGCTAAGTAACCGAAAATTATATCTCCATGACAAGCAGATCAAGTTACATTCTCAATCGAGAAATCTCCTGTTTCTGCTTCCATTCAAAACACTGTATACCCTTAGCGTTTCATCATCAAACGCTTAACTTCATGATGGATTCAGACATGAACAGAGAGACAAGAGAGAGCAGAATACACGAAGCAGCGAAAGTAAACGGAGAATCGAAAATTTAACCTTTATTCGGTTCCTCAGAAACTCTAATTCGGATCTTAAAGCGTCTGCTGAATCTTGTCCATGGTCGGGATCGGATTCTCCGGCGGACATGGTAATTTTCCGGTGACGGGAGGATGACGAATTATTCCGACGGCGACCGATCGTCCAAAGCTCCGAGACTGATTCCAAGGGTTTATTGAGAGCACCAAAACGACGTCGCTGAGATCTAAATGTTATGATTTACAGCTAATTCCTCATATTATATGACATGGATAGTAACATACAACTATTTATTTCATATATATACATATATTATTAAAAAAAAATCGTAATTTTTTTTCTAAATAATAAAATCATAATTTTATGAAGTAGATATAAAATATATTAAATTATATGTAAGAAACATGCTCATGGGGAAAAAAATATATTAGATCAGCTCTTCCCCAACAACTGAATTCACGAAAGGAAGACCGATAATTCTTTTCTTTTCCTTCGGATTCTTTTCGAATCGCAAACTAGTGTTTGGATTCCAAGAAATTTTTTTCGTTGCACAGTGATATACTGAAATCAGCGCACTGATCATCGGGATCTGGACAATATCTTCGTTCGATTGCCATGGCGATGAGAAGGCGTACTTTGCTCAAGGTCATTGTCCTCGGCGACAGTGGGTATGGTTTCGCTATGATTTCCATCTCGCCATTTTCTCTCTTAGATGGAAGATTTTTGTACTATGTTCTTGTGGGTGTATTTGTGTGTTTTCTCGTTATATGACGCATTGATGATCGATTGATCCATGATTGTCGCTTTCAGGGTTGGTAAGACTTCCTTGATGAATCGGTATCCTTCGACTAAACGTTTTATTATTCTGTAAGATTGGGAATCATTTGAGATTGTTGAAACAGTTTCAGAATCTGCGAATACTTGATGGGCATGTCGTCCGGGTTAATCGGCTGCAGATTTGTTCTTTTTCGGTTGATGCGTTCGTGATACATTATGTACTCTGATGGTGTTTCTGCTTGAGCTGGATAACAGTGTTGTTCTTGTACTTTGATTCTGTGAATCTATTTCTTTGGAAGGATTTCTCTTGGTACTGTTTTTGGGGCCTTAACGAGTAAATTTAGATATGTGCATAACAAGTTCAGTCAGCAGTACAAAGCAACTATTGGGGCTGATTTCGTCACGAAGGAACTCCAGATCGAGGATAAGCTTGTTACTTTGCAGGTGGGGTTTCTAGTTAGGTTTTGTTATATAAGTTTCTTCATCGAAACCCATGATGGTGCCCTTGAAGAATCTTGTTGTGGGGACTTGTCTGTTTGGTTTGTAGATATGGGATACTGCAGGGCAAGAAAGATTTCAGAGTCTGGGGGCTGCCTTTTATAGAGGAGCGGATTGCTGTGCGCTGGTTTACGATGTCAATGTAATGAGGTCCTTTGACACGCTAGACAATTGGCACGAGGAGTTTCTTAAGCAGGTTTTCTGAATGCCTCTTTTATGGCCCATTTTCTATAATGTCGTGGTTATGTTGATGATTTTGTCCCTCTAGTGCTAGCAAGTCATATATCTGTTTGCGTATAGAATTCCCCAAGGTTGTAAAATTGAGGTCCGATCTGGTTTCCTTGTTTGATCCCTGATAAGTTTATGGAAGTAGAAGTGTGCTAGGCTGGTAGCTCTGTTTTTATAGGTTTCTTTAGATTGTACGACCATCTAAGGTCATAATCCATGGAGTTAAATCATCGTAAGTTAACATAATTTCATCTGCTTCCTCAAACTGATTGGGAAACTCTATGGATTATGTAGTCTTCATATATGTTGAAGTTTCTCAACTCCTTTAAGATCTCACACTGTGGAATATTGTTGGTAGTTTATTCCCATTATTGATCCCATACAGTGACTGGCATATATGAGGGCTCGTTATGTTATGAACGGCCATTTCCTTCACCGGGCTCTTCACTTATTCGTCAAAACATTCTGCTGTGTCTGCTCTATTTTTACGACCATTTTAATGATCTATAAGTACATGCCATGCGTATGTAGCTTGATATGTTGGGCCTGTAATATCTGGCCTTAACAGTTTTAAGATATGCTGACTTCTAATGTTGTCGTGTTTCCATGGAATCATCTCCTTGTGCCCTAGGCAAATCCCTCAGATCCAAAGTCATTTCCATTTATACTGCTTGGAAACAAGGTTGATATAGATGGCGGGAGCAGCCGAGTGGTAAGAAGAAAGACAAGAAATGGTCCGTTTTCCTAAAATTTCCAATACATTCCATCTGTCTAATCAAAATTTCTGTCCAACAACAGGTCTCTGATAAGAAAGCATTGGACTGGTGTGCGTCAAAGGGTAACATTCCCTATTTCGAGACCTCGGCAAAAGAAGACTACAATGTCGATGAAGCATTCTTCACCATCGCCAAAAAAGCCCTGGCAAACGACCATGAACAGGATATGTAAGATTTTTCTTTACCCTACAATGACTCGATTGATCTATGGTCGGATTGTCTAGTTCTGGAATCCGAGAGTTTTGAGAGCATAGAATCACGGGTTTCTTTCCATTCCTTTCTAAAAAACGTTTCTGATCCAAATCTTTTGGGGAAATGATAGATATTTCCAAGGCATACCAGAGGCTGTTCCTGAAACCGAGCCCAGAGGAGGTGGTTGCGCTTGCTGAATGGGAAAGAGAACACCGGGCCAGTTACATTCATTGTGACACATTAGCCATCATTCTTTTAAGGTTTGTGCATTCGGTTCGCTGAAGGATAGTTTTAGAAGCTATTTTTCGCTTGATCGGTCCATGGCATCGTATTCGTTGGTTGGGTTGGGTTAATACGATCAAGGGGCAATGCGGTTCAATGGTCCAGTTTCTGTTCTTTCCCTGCCAGTGCCATGAGATAATGTTCTACTCTTTTGATCATTCTTCTTCTATCTATGACCCATACTCAAACATTTAGTATTAATTTTATGTGGGTATTCCCCAAAAACCAACATGTGCTTTATTTTCTTCACCTTACTATTTGTGTTCCGGTTTACGTTGGAGCGTTTGTCAGACGCTAGCAGCGTTTGCGTTTGGCCGAGCCGCTGGTTTTCGCAAATGTTTGCGACCGGCTGCGATGGAGGGAGATATTATAAACTTTGGATTGTACTAGAAGGTCTGAAATGCGACAATTTCGATCCAAAACCGAAGGCATGAGTTCTTGTATGTTAATGGGCCCAATAATCGGCCCATTAATAAGTGCATCTGGACGCTACTTGAGTCCAAACGGTCTGCAAGATTTTCTTTCCATTTTCCCTAGGAAATAAAAAATACAAATTTTCATGGAAAATCAGTAGCTTGGTTCTCTCGGACGAGTTGACTGTGAACACGAACGACCACAGCAAAACGAATTGGGAGGGAAACCAGAGGCGGCGAGCGGAAGCGGTGAATCGGCGGCCATGGCGACGAAGTCGAGCCCAGATCTGTTGAGCAGCTTCTCTCTCAAATCCCTAAAATTGAAGACGAAGCAGCAGGAGCTCCTGATCCGTGTCTCCATCCTCTGCCTCGTTTATGTCTTGGCCTTCATCACTCGCCTCTTCAGTGTTCTTCGTTATGAGTCTATGATCCACGAGTTTGATCCCTATTTCAACTACCGCACAACCCTTTTTCTCACCGAGAAAGGCTTCTACGAGTTCTGGAACTGGTTCGACTCGGAGAGTTGGTACCCTCTCGGTCGGATCATCGGCGGAACGCTTTACCCAGGTCTCATGGTCACCGCCGCTCTCATTTACTGGACTCTGCGGTTTCTCCGCTTTTTCGTTCACATCCGTGAGGTCTGCGTTTTGACGGCGCCGTTTTTCGCGTCGAACACCACCGTAGTCGCGTATTTCTTCGGCAAAGAGATCTGGGATTCAGGAGCTGGACTTGTCGCAGCTGCTCTGATCGCCATTTGCCCTGGTTACATTTCTCGTTCCGTCGCTGGTTCGTACGATAACGAGGGTGTCGCCATTTTCGCTCTGTTGTTCACTTTTTACCTGTTTGTGAAGGCAGTGAATACTGGGTCATTGGCCTGGTCTCTTGCCTCTGCGTTTGGCTACTTCTACATGGTTTCGGCTTGGGGAGGCTATGTGTTTATCATTAATCTTATTCCGCTTTACGTCTTGGTGTTGTTGATCACGGGAAGGTATTCGATGAGGCTGTACATTGCTTATAACTCGATGTATATCTTGGGAATGCTGCTCGCCATGCAGATTCGCTTTGTCGGTTTTCAGCATGTTCAATCTGGGGAGCATATGGCCGCCATGGGCGTCTTCTTCTTGATGCAGGTTCACTTTTGCTCTCGAACTTGCTTTTGTGTGACTATTTTGATGAGTTGTAACATTGCAATATGGTTTGAAAATTAGGCTTGGGAATAGCTTTAGAATCTGCATCTAGTATACTATAGAAAGTCTGAGTGAGGATTTATCTTTGTGCTGCTGTATTGCTTCCTCAAACTTATTTGGAGGTTTAGAATTTACAGCTTCGAGTTTCAACTAGTTTACCAATTGCCCATTTTGGTTAATTCTGCGAGTTTGTAGAATGATTTTCTGCCATTTCCATGTAATCGGTTTTCTGCTTAATCATTGAATTTGTCAGAGTTATGGAACTTTCTTTGTGATATTTGCCTGGAAATTGCTGTTTTCCACCACATGATTTGATCTCTAATGAACTTGATTTGCTGATACAGGTATTTTACTTCCTCGACTGGGTGAAGTACCTCCTCAATGACCCCAAAAAGTTCCAAACTTTTTTGAGCATAACTGTGACATCAGCTGTCCTTGTCGGCAGTATTGCCCTGGGTGTAGGAACAGTGTCTGGCTACATTTCACCATGGACTGGCCGGTTTTACTCATTGCTTGACCCGACTTACGCAAAGGATCACATACCCATCATTGCATCTGTCTCTGAGCATCAGCCTACAGCCTGGTCTTCTTTCATGTTTGATTACCACATTTTGCTCTTCCTTTTCCCCGCTGGTCTTTACTTCTGTTTCAAGCGCTTGTCAGACGCTACCATATTTATCGTCATGTACGGTCTCACAAGCTTGTACTTTGCTGGTGTCATGGTTCGGCTTATTCTTGTTGCCACACCAGCGGTCTGTCTTATCAGTGCCATAGCTGTCTCTGCCACTGTCAAGAATTTGACTTCATTGCTTAGGACAAAGCAGAAGGTTGCTCAGGCTGGATCCACCAAAGCATCCGGTAGCTCAAAGGCTTCTTCCAAGGTGAGATCTTTTACGTTGCTGGTCCTTGACCTTCTTTTGGTCTGCTTTTCTTGAACTGGGTTTGCTACTTTACTTTTATTTTGTACTTTACTACTTTTCTATAATCAAGAGGAAATATTAATACATATATCCTATGGCCTAGCAGGTCTCACTTGATCAGTCACAACCTTTCCAGAAGAATGGTGCTATTGCACTTCTTCTTGGTGTATTTTACTTGCTCAGCAGATATGTAATTCACTGCACATGGGTAACATCGGAAGCATACTCGTCTCCCTCAATCGTCCTTGCTGCAAGAGGTGCTCATGGGAATAGAGTCATCTTTGACGATTACCGTGAGGCTTACTACTGGCTGCGGCAAAATACCCCTCAGGATGCTAAGATTATGTCGTGGTGGGACTATGGGTACCAAATCACTGCCATGGGAAATAGAACCGTTATAGTCGATAACAACACATGGAACAACACTCACATTGCCACTGTTGGACGAGCCATGTCGTCTTATGAAGACGAGGCGTATGAAATTATGAGGTCTCTTGATGTGAACTATGTATTAGTTGTCTTTGGTGGAGTTACCGGTTATTCTTCGGATGACATCAACAAGTAAGTCTTTTTCCTATGCCGTGGAATTCATAGTTTATGAGCAAATATCTTTATGGCAGCATGTTGCCAAATGTGGGTGTTGGTTGATGATATATGCATATCGCTTACATACAAATACATCTGATCTGATTGACTGTAACATAATAAATTCATGCTCGTTCAGTTCTTGGGTGAGGAGGTGTAGGACAACTTCTAGATACTGTTCAGTGTTGACTGACATTCACTTTTGTTGTTTATTGGGTTAGATTCTTATGGATGGTGAGAATTGGAGGAGGGGTATTCCCTGTTATCAAGGAACCCGATTACCTCGTGAATGGAGAGTACCGTGTTGACAAAGGTGCAGCACCAAAGATGTTGAACTGTCTCATGTAAGTTCATATTCAAAGACTTTACCCCTTTGTATGATTTTCTCTCTCGGATTGAACTGAAGTCTTGAATCTTGGGAATTGTGGAGATTTCGGAGAAACTGGTAATGATTTGTTTCAAAAGTGTTCAACTTAAACGTGTTTGCTTGTAGGTACAAGTTGTGCTACTACAGGTTTGGCGAGCTGGTTACAGAATACGGCAAGCCTCCCGGGTAAGATGCCTCTCCTTGATCATCGCAGTTTGACTGATAATCCATTTGGATTTGCATTGATGCAAATGCAAATGAATTGCTTGGGGTTAAATAATCTAAATACTGCCTTGTTTTCGTTGTTTTCAGTGTTAAACCATTCATAGTTTTGGAGAATGCTATTGCTACCGGTCCCATAAAATATATATCTTAGTAAAAGTAACTTGTATTCACAATAGGATTACATATGTAAAAAATGTTTTCTTGCATCTGTGTTGCCTGTTTTATGGTAATCTTATTCTCATCATCCAACCATCAACACAAGAATGCTACCTTAAGCATCTAGCATTCCTGTGAAAGCACTATTCCCAGGCTCTTATGTTTTCTATTGCTGCAAAATCCATAAGAACAAGAATTCGAAGGAGAAAAATCTAAAAAACTTGATGTGGCCATGGCTTTTATCGATATGTCTGACCCTGGAAACCCCCCGAATGTGGAATGTATATATGTTGCAGGTATGATAGGGCAAGAGGGGTGGAGATAGGGAACAAAGACATAAAACTAGACCACTTGGAAGAGGCGTTCACAACATCAAACTGGATTGTCCGAATCTACAGGGTCAAACCCCCAAAGAACAGGTTTTGATTTCACTATTTTTTATCTTCAGCTTCTTTAGCAGTGTCTCCATAGAGGTAATGAGGTTCGGTCTTTAGTAATAGATGAGAGGAAGGAACCATGCCACTTAATTTTTTTTTTTCTTTGGCAAGGGAACAAGAAGAGTCTTTGTAGCTCTCGTTTGGTTTGAACATTTTCATCTTATATAAAATATATACCCAATGTGGTTGTTTTAAGAGGTGAGGTAAAGACTAAAGACTTGTGACTGGATTTGGTTTGGTTCGATTTTAATTTTTATCTGGGTGTTAATTTTTACTTGAAGTTCGAAGCCCGACCCGGTCCAGTTCGAAAAATAGTGGAGTTCGGGCTTTAGGCCCAAAATTTTTTGGGTTTTAGAATCGGGTTCAGATTGTTTCAGATCGGTTCGAAAACCCGAATTTGTTTTTCAAAAATAAATAAAAAAAATAAATTTCAAAAAGTAAATTTAGCGGGTCGGGGTGGGCCGACCCGAACCCAAGCTCGAGGTACATAGGGGTGGGTTTCGGGTTTAGGTTCCAAAAAAATTGGGTCGCCTGAGCCCAAAATCCTTGGGGCGAGTGCGGGCCTGGCCCGGCCCATTTGACAACTCTAGTTTTTATTGTTAGAAATATTTTTCTAAGAAATCTCTGGTTACCCTATTAGGTCCTGGTTCTTTAGAAAAAAACACATGCATTTGTATATGGATTTAGATATGATTATATGTCATTTGGTTTGAATTGGTTCCGTTTGTAATGTTCGCTGGTCCAATTCAAAAAGAGAGGCGCTGATCAGAAATGGATGCAATACTCGGATTTAATTTTGGTTACCACTATTGGGCCTATCTGGACCAATTGGGCCTTATTGGGCCTTATTGGGCTCGGGATGTTGTCTTCGTTGCCCTCGCCATGCCACACGACCCTTAGTTTTTAGATTCGCTACAAAACTTAAAAAAAAATACGAATGTCTTGTTCGATGCAACATTATATGCAATATATTATAACACGATTGTTACGGTTTGAAAAAAAAAAGTGGTTAATTTTTTTATGAATTATACGATTCTTAAAAAAACAGTTGTTATTTAAAAAGTAAAATTTTAAATATTTCATCGAATATGTTTAAAAAAAATAGTCCATATTAATTTATATAAAAATCCATGTATTGGGGGGGAGACTAGTGCTCCCGTAGTTAAACCCCATCTCTAGGCCACGTCATTATATACATATATACACTTAATCAATTCAATTAAATTATAATTTCATATAATTAAATACATACATATATATATATATATATATGTATATATATTCATGTGAACGCGCTTATAAGTTACAATATACTATTGTCATCCTTGAGCTCACGTCCCAAAACGCACCCACCTCCTTTGCATCGGTAACGCCATTTTTCCTGCTTTCTTTTACATTTCGTGATAATTACTGTAGCCTCTTAATTAGTTAAATAACTAAAATTAATTAATTAATTAAGACAGCGTTTTTAACCGCGGTTAAAAACAAAACCCACGCAAGCATAGATCAATCAAAAGCGACACGACACGAACCATAGCTAATTAGAGTGGACTTTCGCTTTCTCCCATGCTCTTTGTGCGTTCCCCTATGGTTTTGTTTCCGAATACAATATAGTAATAAATATTCACTGCGACCATACGGACCCTTATCAACATTGTCACGTGCTGTATGCAATGCATGTACGTATACGAATACGACGACGTACGTTAATATTTCATCTAACAATCATATCGCGTGTACATGCACCTATTCAATACTGTATTTATAACTTTGAAAGAACTTAATTCTCAAGGTATCGTATCCACGATTTTATGTTTCCTTTGGACGCAACTTCTACGTATTAATTAATAATTATCAAATTATATATATATATATATATAAAAACTGCCAGATAATATAACCTACCTAAATTATAATACCGTTATATAAATACTGAAAGAAATTTCATATTAAAAAAAAAGAGCAATAAAGGACAACCTTGGGAAAATCAGTCATTAATCATACATTAAAATTAGTACTTTTTTTTTTGGGAACAAACAGAAACTCCCAAAACGATAATTAGAACAAAAAAAAAAGATGGTAGAGTGTAGCATATCAGTGAGCAAGAAGCTTATAACATAATATATTCATGGTTTTAAAATTTATTTATCATTTTACTAAATTTAAAAAAAATCTTTAAATATAATTAACTTGCATTTGATTTTGGTTTCATATCAACAGAAAACATAACAATTAACATAAAAGAAAACAGTCCAACGAAAAGTTTTTATCTAGAAGCCCCGAATATTGTACAAGACATTAAAAAATAGGGATGGGCGATCGGACGAGTTCGCTTTTAATCGGGTTCAGATATTTCGAATTTGAAATATTCATATTTAATCGGGTATATTTTTAATCGGTTCGGTTCGGTTTCGGATGAGATTCGGTTCGGGTTATCCAAACAAAAAAAAATCAAACAATTATCTTATAAAAAAAAACAAAAACAACATTAAAAATACATCTATATTTCGTTTTTTTATATATCATGGTTATAAACACAATATCATTATACTAATTTTTTTAATTAGATTTAGAATATATTACATATTAATTGATGATATATGGATGGATAAACGGATATATTCGGTTATGGTTAATTCGGGTTCGGTTTATTTGGTTTACGATTATTTCAGGTTCGGGTATTTCGGATTTAAAATATTCATATCCAATCGGGTATGTTATTTTAATCGGTTCGATTCGGATATATATCGATAAGGTTCGATTCGGATATATATCGATAAGGTTCGATTCGGTTATTTCGGATTCGGGTATTTTGTCCATCACTAATAAAAAATAGGTATACATATATATATATATATATATATATATACATTTTTTTGTTAACTAGATTAAATTGAAGTTAATGGATGGGTTTGAACTTTAAACCAAGGAGATGGTTTATGGGAAATATGAGTATGGATATTGGATAGGATATCCAAATCCATATTTAAAAGTTTCTATATCACAATTTGATATTTGCTTCGTATTTAAAAATCTTGGACACTCACTATAAAATATTTGAAAATATACTCATATTCGTATATTTATAAATTCTAGATAATCAAATTACAAGTAAACGATAAATTTTTGAATATATTTGATATCCGAATTCAAAAATTATTTACACAACGCAACGTGTTTATATAAGAAAAAAAACATAATCAAACCTCAATCCATCCAAAATTCCAAATCAACCTCAAAAATCTGAATACCAGTGAATTCCAAAATCTACCCAAATATACAACACAATTAATACGAATTCTTTATTTGCTAGAAAATATACAGCTTGTTCTATGAATAAAAGATTACCATATCGAGTACCCTAAACTTCAGGGTAAATAGAAAATTACCGAGAGTGAAAAGATCCAACGGCCGAGATTAATCCAAAAAAAGGAGGAGACAAAGGAGAAGGAAGAAGGTGTGGCAGAAGAAGACAAAGGCCATAAAACATGTAATGTTTATGAGTACTTTGTCACCTACATTGCCTCATGGCTGGATTTTTTCAACGCCCGAAATGCATGCAGATACATACACATATACAAACACTGAAAATAAGCGAATATTTACACATAGAAATGAAAAAAAAGAACGATATTTATTTTTTTAAAACTAAATTAACTGAAGTTGGATTTGGATTGTAAATTGTAATACCAAAATAATTTTTTTAAAAATATAGTAAATATTTAGGAAAGTAGTGTTTTTTTAATTAAAATTAAATTCCAGTTAAACCGAAATATTAGTACAAATAAATACATACATTTTTAAAAGTTTAAAGAACTAAATCCAAAAACAACCGAAACAAAAAAAAAAACATTTAATCAAACGGCACTAGAAAATGATGGATGAGTTTTAAGAAATGCACAGCTGAATCCCATTTTCGGATGATAGAGAAATTTGTCAACAATCATAAATCCAAATTGTATTAAATAAAAATACAGACAATTTTAAATTATATCCAAATTATATTATGTTATTAATATAATAGTTTGAATAATGATGTACATGCACACACACACATACATATCCACGGAAAATCGGAAGAAATTCCGGTGCCCCCTAAATCAGTGCAAATAGAATAATCAAAGTTTCTTTCTTTTTTTTAAAACAAATCTAAAGCCGAAAGCTGAGTACTCAATCTTGTTATTAGTACAACAAACAAGGAGAGAGAGTGAGAGAGAACCAAAGTCTCGTTTTTTAACTCCCACACAGCTCCGGTAACGCAGCTAACGCAGCTACAGCCACCGCCGGCAGCCTACTACCGCCGTCGCCGGGTAAAGTTCCAACCTTTTGGCCACCGTAATAGAGATTTCAAATGGCAGAGTTCTCTGTTATACCCTCTCTCTTAACTTCACATGAACTCTTCTTCTTCTTCTTCTTCTTCTTCTTGCTCTGCAATGGTCTGGTGTAAACCCTAAGCAAGCATCACATACCCTTTCACGTGTTTTTTGTCTCCTCAAGGGAAATAAACCTCTATTTTTCTTCTTCATTATCATCCATTGTGACTATTCACCAAAAGAAGTCTACTTTCTCAGAGTTTCAATGGAGAAGAACCAAACACATTTTGTAAACTCATCACCTTTCAATCATTTTTCCAGATTCTCAATGGAGAGGAATCCGACCCATTTCATAAATCCATTGAGAATCGGTGTTGCAGTGGGGAGGAGACAAACCCAGTTGGTAAAGTCATCGACTTTCACTTGCAGCAACAAACCCTTGAATCGTTTCTTCTTGTCCTTGTTCTGTTTCTGCTTCTGGATCTCCATGGCCAAACCTATTCTCTCTCTCTCACCAGACGGCCAAGCTCTTCTCCCTCTAAAGAGATCATCGTCAGATTTCTCATCATGGGACCCACAAGACCAGATACCATGTTCATGGCATGGCATTACATGCTCTGCAGACAACAAAGTGATCTCCGTCTCCCTCCCCGACACTTTCCTCAACTTGTCTTCAATCCCTTCAGACCTCTCTTCTCTCTCTTCTCTTCAGTTCCTGAACCTTTCTTCCACTAACCTCTCGGGCCCAATCCCTCCTTCATTTGGCAAACTCACCCACCTCAGACTTTTAGACCTTTCCTCAAACTCCCTCTCTGGTCCAATCCCACCTGAGCTTGGTCACCTCTCCTCGCTTCAGTTCCTTATCTTGAACGCAAACAAGCTCTCTGGTCAAATCCCCCCACAAATTTCAAATCTTCCTTCCTTGCAAGTCCTCTGTCTGCAAGACAATCTGTTAAATGGCTCCATTCCTTCAAGTCTAGGCTCTTTGCTCTCTCTTCAGCAGTTTAGACTTGGTGGGAATCCTTATCTCACAGGGCATATCCCTCCCCAACTAGGGTTTCTGACAAATCTGACGACTTTAGGGTTTGCTGCTACTGGTTTATCAGGTCCCATCCCTTCCACTTTTGGGAACTTGGTGAATTTGCAAACTTTGGCTCTGTATGACACTGAAGTCTCTGGTACTATTCCACCTGAACTGGGCTTGTGTTCTGAGCTCAGGAACTTGTATTTGCACATGAACAAGCTAACTGGATCCATTCCTAAGGAATTGGGAAAGCTCCAGAAGCTCACAAGCTTGCTCCTGTGGGGAAATTCATTATCTGGGTCGATCCCACCCGAGATTTCCAACTGTTCTTCCCTCGTCGTGTTCGACGCATCTGCAAATGGTTTGTCTGGTGAAATTCCTGGGGATTTAGGCAAGCTTGTTTCTTTAGAGCAGCTTCAGTTGTCTGATAATTTACTCGCTGGTACAATTCCTTGGGAGCTAAGCAACTGTTCCAGCCTCATTGCTCTTCAGCTGGACAAGAACCAGCTATCAGGTTCCATACCCTCTCAAATAGGTCACATGAAGCATCTGCAGAGCTTTTTCCTGTGGGAGAACTCGGTTTCGGGAACAATACCATCTTCTTTTGGCAACTGCACGGACCTGGTTGCACTCGACCTGTCTAGGAACAAGCTAACTGGAAGAATCCCAGAAGAGCTCTTTGGTTTAAAAAGGCTTAGCAAGCTTCTCCTTCTCGGTAACTCCATATATGGTGGATTGCCAAAGAGCATTGCAAAATGCCAGTCACTCGTGAGACTGAGACTCGGAGAGAATCAGCTTTCGGGTCAGATCCCGAAAGAGATAGGCCAGTTACAGAACTTAGTCTTTCTTGATCTTTATATGAACCGTTTCTCTGGAAATCTTCCGTATGAGATCTCTAGCATCACTGTGCTTGAGCTTTTAGATGTTCACAATAACTATATCACAGGAGAGATTCCTCCTCAGCTTGGAAACCTTGTGAATCTGGAGCAGCTTGATCTGAGTAGGAACAGCTTCACTGGAAACATACCGTCGAGTTTTGGGAACTTCAGTTACTTGAACAAGCTGATCCTTAACAACAATCTGCTCACAGGGTCGATCCCGGTTTCGATTAAGAATCTGCAGAAGCTGACACTTCTTGATCTGAGCTTCAACAGCTTGTCTGGTGAAATCCCACATGAACTTGGCCAAGTCAAAAGCTTGACAATTAGCGTGGACTTGAGCAACAACGCGTTCAACGGAGAGATACCCGAGACTTTCTCTGGTCTGACACAGTTACAGTCACTTGATCTCTCACAGAACATGCTTCACGGGAAGATCAAAGTTCTTGGCTCTCTCACGAGCCTCGCTTCTCTCAACATCTCCTGCAACAATTTCTCGGGTCCTATCCCTTCGACGCCGTTCTTCAGAATGCTTTCTTCAAGTTCGTATCTCCAGAACGCCAACCTTTGCCAGTCCATTGATGGCATCACTTGTTCCTCCCGCATGCAAATGAACAGAGGAAAATCCCCAAAGATTGCAGCTTTGATCTCTGTGATCCTCGCTTCAGCCATCATTGCTGTCCTAGCTGCTTGCCTTTTCATCTTAAGGAACAATCACCGCTACACGATGGAGAAACCCGCATCAGCTTTGTATTCTTCATCATTGTCACCAGCTGAAGATTTCTCATCCCCTTGGACTTTCATTCCATTCCAGAAGCTCGGTTTCGCCATCAACAACATTCTTGATTGTTTGAAAGACGAGAATGTGATAGGCAAAGGCTGTTCAGGGACAGTGTATAGAGCAGAAATGCCGAACGGAGAAATCGTCGCAGTCAAGAAGCTGTGGAAAACAAAAATCGACGAAGGAGAACCCGCCATTGATTCTTTCGCAGCAGAGATACTGATTCTGGGAAACATCAGACACAGGAACATTGTCAAACTTCTGGGTTACTGTTCCAACAAATCGGTGAAGCTGCTTCTTTACAACTACATCCCCAACGGAAATCTGCAACAGCTGTTACAAGGGAACAGGAACTTGGACTGGGAAACTCGGTACAAAATAGCTGTCGGAACAGCGCAGGGATTGGCGTATCTGCATCACGATTGCGTTCCTGCCATTCTCCACAGAGATGTCAAGTGCAATAACATTCTTCTGGATTCTAAGTACGAGCCCATCTTGGCGGATTTCGGTCTGGCGAAGCTGATGAACTCGCCAAATTATCCGAACCCAATTTCTCGAGTCGCTGGATCATATGGCTACATCGCACCAGGTAGGTTGGTTTTTCTTACACGACAATTGGCAAAATTCTTCACCGAGAAATATAATCTTTGCCTTGTGGGTACACTGCAGAATACGGATACACGATGAACATAACAGAGAAGAGTGACGTCTACAGCTATGGAGTCGTACTGCTGGAGATTCTCAGCGGGCGGAGCGCAGTCGAGCCGCAGGTAGGCGACGGGCTCCATATAGTGGAGTGGGTGAAGAAGAAGATGGGAAGTTTCGAACCGGCGATGTCTATACTGGACGCCAAGCTGCAGGGATTGCCCGACCAGATGGTTCAGGAGATGCTTCAGACACTTGGGATCGCCATGTTCTGCGTAAACCCGTCACCGATGGAGCGACCGTCGATGAAGGAAGTGGTGGCTCTGTTGATGGAGGTGAAGAGTTGTCCTGAAGAATGGGGAAAGACTTCACAGCCATTGATAAAGCAGCAATCTTCGCAGCAGAGTTGAGTTGATGATTGTTCTTTGTCTAGAAACAAAAAAGATTGAATTTTGAAATATTTGTTCGAGTAGGAATGGATGATGATGATGATGATGATGAGATAAAAGGGTTTTGAGTAATGTACAGATTCACGGCCCCGAAATGGTACCCTGCAACAAGCTCGAACACACAAATAAATCAGATTCAGAAACATTTCACAGATTCAAATAAATCATGGTTCAGAATCTATGTATTGTTCTACAGATCAAACCCTAAAAGTTTCTTTTTTTTCCCCTTAGAAGGAAGGTGTTCGAGGGAAAATTAGCATCCCAACAACCAGCGTCATCGGTCCGGCAGGATCTAACGTGTCGCAACCTTTGCCGCAAACCCATCAAATCCACGACTGTTTTACTTCACCGTCGCTGAAAGCGATCAGATTTGCCCTTCACCATTTTCCTCCTAAAGGTACAACCTTTATCCTTTGAAATCGATAATAATCTCGGTTTGTTCGCATGCTTCGTCTTGTTTGGGACTGAATGGGTTCTGTTTTGTCGGGGCTTTCGTCGTTTCTGTAGACATGGAGAGCGACGGCTTTCGGTGTTTATGGGTATCTCAACTTCACCACGAACGGTTTCATGTGTGTCGAAATTACTTTGATTCCTCTATAAATGTGTTGATCTGGGGATTGTTTCTCTCATATGGGTTTGATCGCTTCGTGAAGTAGGTCTTGGATTCCATTTTAGGTGAGTGCAAAGCAAAGCCTTTCTTTTTCGGATAATCTCCACAAACCATGGCTTAAGAACACATGACCAGACAAGAAAAACCATTATGAACTGTATGCTTTTTGTACCCTTCATGCATAATGATGTTGCTGTCATTTGAAAACAGAACTTGAACTTCCTTTCCTGTGGTGGCAGAGAACATTCAAAGAAGTTCGACCCTGAAGATATGCAAGTACAAATTGATGGGACGACTTGTGTGGTTACTGGGGCCAATTCTGGTGTCGCCACTGCAGAGGGCCTTGCTTGGCGGTGAGTTCAAACAGATCTTAAACCTAATGCTTTAGTTAGTCTGTTGCCATTTCTCTACGGCAGTGTAAACTTGATAGTCGATATCGTTTCTGTGCAGTTTAGCGAGGAAAAATTCGATGGTGCTGAGCAATATGCACAAAACACGCGTCTGCAGGTTAGTAAACCGTGAAATCCTGGTTCACGATCTCTTCACATTCTCGAGGAATGGCTGTATCAGACTCTCATGCCAATGATTGTATTAGACTCTCAGAAGGGCATATAACTGAAAAAATCAAGGCTTTCTGATTTCAGGTTTTGGGGAAAACTTAGAACAAGCGAAGGAGCAGACACGATAGTCTGGTTGGCATTGTCGACACTCTCCATTCCATGGCTTCTCTCTATCCTTCAAACCCGTCTTGGTGATCGTATCAGCGATGCAGGTTAGATTGAGTGAACTTGTTCTCATTTTTCGTAAAATTTTCGGTGTCTCTTTTGTTAGAAAATTCTGTAAACACAGGTTGTAATTGACAATCTCATCCATATTGTTATATCATTGCTTGTAAACAGATGTATCAAAAGAAGAACAATACAACACAGGATTGAATACATGAGGAATTACATCTGAGATGAGTATGAAGGCATGAGCTGAGACTTTCGGAGCCAATACTGATCGAACCTCTGCCTCGAGTACTCAATGTAATCGAACTCAATCTTGTTCACATACCCCTGCAAAAAACCCAACATTCACATTGTCAGAATCATATGTTCTTTTCCTGTTTTTCACTTTGTGTTTTTAGATCAAAGCCCTAACCAGAACCAGAGTTGAGTAACAATGGTGAAACTGAGAGAGATGCTTACAGAGATGATTCCCCAAAGGCCCCAGAAGAGATGGCTTGCAAGAGAGTACTTCTCAACATCATCCAAAAGCTGTTGTATTTCCTCTTCTTCTCTGGGTTCTTCATCTGCAACACAGAGTAAGAGCTCTCACTCAGATGGATACTCAACACAACAGGAAAAAATATGTCATTTTTTTTGGAGGAAGTATAAATACCCGAAGAGCCGAGATAGTTGCAGATGAACCTCCTACGTTCCTCTATCCCTGAAATCCTCGAAACCCATTAACCAGATTAGATCGAGTTCATCTTTGGTGAATCCGAATCTGTTGTCCGAAATGAATATAATCGGTTGATGAACAAGTCATCATCGATGAATGTGGAAACGGTACCTGGATAGAGAGTGTAGTCCAAGATATGAGGAGTATCGGTATGGTAATTCGCAGCCATTTCGCAGAAGTGGTTTGCTATATCGTATGCGATCGGGTTATAACTCGCATACTCGTAGTCCTGCAATTTTTTGTGTGAATCACGTCGATACAGAGTATTTTTCGACATTAAAAGCGAATGTTTTTCGGGATGTGGCTTACTATCAAGGTGATGGCATTGGTGTCTTCGTCCATCATGATGTTACCGTACTGCAAGTCATTGTGGCAGAACCCAATCTCTTGAAACTCAGTCTGCAAGTCTTGTTCAAGAAAGTCGATCTCGTCTTCAATGTTGTTCAGACCAAACTCCTCCGCATCCTCAGGCGAGCATAAACTCCTTGCTTGCCCAAGCCATGTCCTGGTGTTGCAGACATTGAAAAATACATGGTTTTTTTTTTAACATTTTCAGATGAAATGAGGGAAAAAAACGCATCACTTGCAAGAAATTCTCGTAAATGTTTTTTCTTTTTACCTCATTCGGTCCCAGAGGAGAACAGTTTTGTTACAGGGCATGTCGAGGTTGTGAAATTCTCGTAACTTTGATGCCAGAAGAGCTGATATTTCTGGGTCACGCAGTTCGTTAGCCGATAACGTCTGATCCAAACGAAACGAGCAAACATTCATATACAAATCATGTTAAAAAGCCAATGAGATTTTGAAAAGAAAGGAGAAGAAGTGGAGTTACGTACCCGGGCATGGATGAACTCCTCGACTCGGCCGCCGGCGAATCGGCCGAGAAGCTTGGGACCGTGGCCGTGCCTCGACACGAACTCGAACGTTCGAATCTCGTCGTCCCTGTTGAAGAAGAGCTCAGCCCCTTCGCCATAGACCCGAACCAGAAGCTTTCTATGGAGGTTACCTTCTTTCGTCGGCCAATTCACCATGAAAACCTCGTTCGTCATCGCTCCTTTCATGGGCTTCACCTGCAGAGACTCCAGGTCCTCCACCACGTCTCCCCATTTCGCCGCTAGTGTCAGAAGAACTTTCTTGAGTTCGTCAGGGGACGAACTCATTGGGACCAATCCGAAGATTCCGATGGCCATTTTGTCTGTTTTCTCTGCAATACAGTTCAAGTGACGAAAAGGGTTATCATGTGAGATGTGATTTTGATGGGATTTGAGTTGAAGTGAGGCCAAAGCTCTGTACTTTCTGAGAATTTTGACAAGAAAACCGAAACCCAGATCCAGAAAACATGTGGTTTAGTTCACAGACAGGATGAACTTGAATTTAGAATAATCTGGTAAGTTATGATTCTGCTGGAGTTTGGGGTTTGACGTAAGGCAAAAAAACAAAGCTTTGTACTTTCTGACACCTGTGGTCAGAACATCAAAACCCAGATTGAGAAAACAGAGAGTTACAGCAGTTCGACAACATTATGAGCTTGAATTGAAGGTAGCCCGTGAATTATGATCATAAACTGGAATCGAGAAACGAACAAATGACTAACCTTCCTTAATTTTCCAGGTTTCGAATCTAAATATCTGTAACCAATTTCAGAAATTACTTCAAATCAATCGGAAAACGGAGCAAAAGAGATTCAGTTTAACTGCATGGTGAATCTAGTGCGCTTTCCCACTATCTTGATCAAAAGATCCATACCCATCACGAAATATCAGTTCCACTGCATGAAGAGCTTTGAATTTGGCCATGAATTTACAAGAACAGAGAATCAGAAGATGGGGAACCCAGATGACTCACCAAAGGAAAGTTGCAGTCTTTAGCAGATACGTTCCTGGGAAAGTGTTTTGAGAGGGAATCCACAAGGGTGGAGGGAGAGAAAAAAAGATCTGCAGGAAAAAAAAAAGATGAACTTTTTTTTTTCAAATGTTGTAAGGATCTAAGAAAAGTCCTGTCTGAAGCAAAGGACAATGTGCATGGTGTGAGAGGTGTTGAAACGAGCATGGGGTATTTATGGACTTTTGTCTTCACATTTGAAGGTATCTATCTATCTATGGCGGTTGAATTTTAGCACATCAAGAACATTTCATTTCTGTGGAAAAAAAAAGTTATATTATATTATATTGGTAAATTTACAAAAAAAAATATTAATAAATAAAAAAAACGTCATAGAAATATATTATAATACTTTAATTGAGAAACTTTGGATTTTTCTTTCCCATTATGAAAGACAAACTCAAACTTTTCTAAGTTTATATCTCTGACGAGTTTACGTAACAATTAAGATAGAAAGAAATTGAACATGGGTTTTCTATTCTTCTATGTAATAAATAAATAAATAAAACATTTTTTGGGTACCATTAATTTAAAAGAACTTTACAAAAATAACATTCGAAGCATGAAAATTACGGTTAAATATGTAAAAAAACGTCGAGCACTCAATATATATATATATATGTAATGATAATAATAATAATAACCGTCGGGACAACAGTTAAATATTTAAAATTTTCCAATCAAATATATCGTAAAATTTTATATATGAATTTCCAAATTTCAATTCAATCTCAAGTAAAAAAAAATTGTTATTTCTTATAAATACATAAAATTGTATATGAACAGAAACATATATTACGTTCTCTCTAAAAAAATAACATTTTCTTCTCGTACATAAGTCGTCGTAATTACGTAAGCAGAAGCCAAGTAACAATCATAAGGGTACGTTTGCAAAATTTGATGGTCGGTTGATTAAAAAAAAGATTTTGGCCAATGAGAATCAAACACGTCAGCAATCGAAGAAGTCCGCTATTAAGATTGCTGCCAAGTTTGAGACAGATAAGATAACTACGAGCGATTATCGTTATCGTAGTTAAAAACGTGTCTTTCAATGCAGAAAGACAACTTGGCTTTTCACTATCCCTTTTTCTCAAATTTTTTAATTTTCGACCGTCGGTAAACTGACACGTGGTAGTTCTCTATTCGTTCCAACGCGATAACGTTGTCTTATCTTGTGGTCCCACTAAATTGGGAGTAACACGTCAGCGTCTCTCGGAGTTTTTTTTTTGTTTTACGAATATTACAAAATAGGAGAAATTATTAAAAAAAAAAAGCGATATTATTGATTATGGAAACGTGGAAAAATATATACATTTCAGGAATTTAAAACATTTTACGATGTCTCAAAATTGACTAAATTGTTTTATATAATTAACACTAATACCGTAGAAGATGACCTAAATGTCATACTAATTACAATGAATATCACACTTATTATAAATTTTAATTTTGTAAAACTAATTCCATATTATAGATTATGATTCCACCAAATGATATTTCATCCCACATTATGTGAAACTGTGAAAGCCTTTTTAATTTCCTTTGCGGCCGTTGATCCATTGTACCACTTGCCTTTACCATTTGACCATCAAATTTATAATTTATAAGTAATTGTACCGACTAAAATTTTAAAGGTATATGTTTATTACAATAAAAATATTTTCTTGGTCACTATTGCTCTCAACTCATATATAATATATAAACACACACACACACACTCATATCCGTTACAATATTTTAGCATGCATACACCATATAACATGTATATTATGTACTATTTTTAGATGTCAACTTTTTTTTAAAATAAATTTATATTTTACATATAATCAAATTTTAAAACTCTTATAGAAATCATTAAGATTGTTCTATTATAATAAAATTATATATGAATTCAATATAATACAAAATTACGAATAATAACAACAATGAGTATGTTATAAATAATCCTTTTCATTAAGAATGGACCAAACGCTAAACGCCGATTTGGATTACGCTTCGGCAATCTTTTTTGAATCTTCACTATAAGCAAAAATTCATAAACATATCAAATTAAGACAAACTAATAAATTGATGCATGATAATAGTTCTGAACTTGTTGGGAACAAGTCACAAAAAACGGGAACGAGACGTTTGGCTCCATAGCCAATATGCTAAATCGCATTATCCATAAAAGTGTTTTTTTTTTAATTTTTAATAATTATTCCTACATGTTTCTTTTCAATTTTTTTAGTTTTAATTTTTTTAGTTTTTATTCGTTTTCTCGTTGAGCCGTCCATTTTCATTATTATATTCTTTAATTTTTTAAGTTTCGTAATTATTATATCCTCTCCGTGATATCTTTGACTAGACTTTATGTATACAATTTTAAAATATATTTTACAGAATATATTCTGTTTAAAATGTGGAGAATACATACATATATATATATATATATATATATATATATATATTCTAATAGCATCTCAAATGATTTGAATTTTCAATTTGAAGGAATATATTTTATATCGTTGTACCGTGTACTGGTTACATTTGACCTTGTCTAAAATGGTTTCGTATTTTTACAAATACTTTCATATTTTGAATGTATGTATATACATGTGTACGTGTGTGCCATATGCTATGTTCATATTTATATATTCACACCACATTATAGATCATGCATCATGTTAAACTTATGAGGCTAACAAACACCAAACATATAAGTAACATGCACCCATAATAATGGGCAGATATAGTGCTACAATAAAATGATATATATATATATATATATATATATATATATATTTTTCCATAAATTAAACGTGCAGTTGATTAAGGTATTGGTTAGCGAAATTTATACTTAAGCATCAGTTACATAAATAGAGAATAGTTTGAAGCTTTTGGTATTATGCCTTTAAAATATGAAAAAATTAACTTTAAAATATCGACTGATTGGGAAAAATCGCTTCAAAAACTATTGTGATCTAATTAAATTAAATATAATATAAAAATAAAAGAAATTTTAATTCAAACCAAACCAAAATCTAATATATATATAAAAAAGAAATAGATGAAATTTTAAAATAAATCGAAAATAATCAAAATCAAAATCAAAATCCATTTCACCGTTTTTTTGTTAGCTTTCACGTGTCTTTGGGTGCCAAATTTCTCCCCTTTTTTCGCTATACAACAAAACAAACACACACAAAGAGTGAAAAAGGTATGGTTTTTGGAAATGAAAATGGGTTGAGTGCGTAATGTATGTACAGTCTTGGGGGGTTTTAGTATAATTTCTTCAATTTTAGGGTTTGCCACGAAAATCCCTCTAGTCTCTTATCACTGAATCTCGCTTTCTATCGTTTTTTGATCTTCAGTAGTTGGCGAAGGTACGAAATCTGGTCCCGAATCTGTGCAAGCATGTGACGTTGTTCAGTTTGATTGTGAAATGTCTCTTTCTGTGTCTGTGTTTTTTTAGATGGATCGCACCATTGTTTCCAGAAATGGAGATTGTTCTCAGACGGCTTCTGGTAATTTTGCATCTTTAATCGACCATTCTTTCCCTTATCGACGTTACATGGCTTCGGTGTCTGTAAAAATTTAGGCTTTGATGTACGAAATGGTGAAGCTCTGATGCTTTTAGGGTTTAATGCTAAAATTTAGGGTTTAATTTAGGCTTCCATGCTTTTTTTGCCTTGCTTTTCCTATGTGTTTTTCTATTCATTTTTTAGAGACATTGCTGTTCCTGTTTGAAGATTCTTCGCAGACCCTTTTGTCACCGATCATCATCAAAAGTTTTCTTCTCAAGAATTGAATTCTTCATCAGTGGATGAAAAAAAAAATCACGGCTTTTGTTGTGCGAGACACATAATTGGATGATTTATTCGTTGCATGCCACAAAGATGGCGGGAGATCTTTTGATATATCAGAATCCTATTCTCTTACAAGTCCTGTGAAATCATGCCATAGAAGTTTATTAATATCTTCTTTACCAAACCAATTTGACACCCCAGAAAAAAAGATTGATTCTTTGGATTCTCTGGATATTTTTATTGACCAGTCATGTTTTATGTCAATTATAGATGCTGTGGCATTGACGAGGATTAGTGATCCTGATCCTATCAAGAAGCAAATCAATGCTTTTTCGGCAATCAGCGTTAAGCAGGATGACCCATCCCGTTTCTTGAGTCTCTTTTATGGTAAAGTCGGGAATGATCTTTAACACTGGCGGTTTATAGTTTTCCCGGCTGTTTTCCATGTCAATGTAATGAAGAGTTAAAATCTGATGCTTGCAGAGAGTGTGATAGCTGGGGGGACAGCTGGCGTTATTGTCGAAGCTGCCCTATACCCAATTGATACGATCAAAACTCGACTACAAGTAATTCTTTTCCGAATTGGATTTGTGTTTTGATCTCACATTGACCAAGTGTAGGATTAGTTGATGACTTTAAAGATGTGTGCACTCTTATGAGGTAACTGCTTAGGATGAGTTAATATCAATTTGGTTCTTGAATCACATTGACTAGATGCCGGGTTTCATATGTTAGGCAGCTCACGATGGAGGAAAGATCATATTGAAGGGTCTGTACTCTGGACTTGGTGGAAACCTTGTCGGTGTTTTACCGTAAGTAGTTAGTTAGTCGTGGAAGCATACAGAAAATTTCAAACTCTCGTGACTCTTGCTTGAGATGAACAACATGGTTCTTTATGTGCAGCGCTTCGGCCATATTCATCGGTGTATATGAACCAGCCAAGCAAAAACTGTTGAAGCTTTTACCCGAGAATCTTAGTGCATTTGCACATCTGGTATGATTTTACTTGAAGTTACCCCAAATAAGAATTTCTGGTTGGTCTATCTTTATGAGATTCTGCTTCTGAAAGCTTCCAAAGCCTTTTTACATTCCTCTTGAGAGCTTTTAGTTTCAAACTTACTGGTCTAATGGAGAGGCCCTAATGTATCGTCAAGTCTTAGCAAGATTGATAAGCTGGATCAGACTGCAGGTGCTTTGGGAGGTGCATCATCATCTATTGTTCGTGTACCAACAGAAGTAATCAATCCATTTTTTGTTCTTTTTCGGGTCCTGCCTTTTCTATCTTTGTTGGGTTTGTATAAGATGGAAAGAAAACATTAATAGGTTGTGAAACAACGGATGCAAACCGGACAGTTTTCTTCGGCTTCTGATGCTGTTTGTCAAATTGTAGCCAAGGAAGGATTCAGAGGTCTCTATACGGTTTGTGAGACTTCTTGATCGCGATTTAATTGTTTCAATATGCTTTCTCGAACATGAGGAGATTGCTCGTGTTTCTTCTTGTGTTAAAATGTTGCTGATCATTCAGGGATTTGGATCCTTCTTGTTACGAGATCTGCCTTTTGATGCTGTCCAGTTTTGCGTGTATGAGCAACTGCGAATTGGATACAAGCTGGCTGTAAAGCTTTCTTCTTTACATCGGCATACGTTAAACAGAAACATATTATCGGTCTAGCGAGTTATGAGTTATTAATCAGATACGTTCTGGACAGGCTAGAAGGGATCTAAACGGGCCGGAGAACGCAATGCTTGGTGCCTTTGCGGGTGCTGTGACTGGAGCTCTTACCACTCCATTTGACGTGATCAAAACCCGGCTAATGGTTCAGGTACATTGGCGTAGGATATCTGACCGATGATCAAGCCTTTGCAAAGTGATGCATCTAATATTGATCTTCTTTTTTTTCTGAAGGGGGCAGGAAGCAAATATAAAGGGGTTTCGGATTGCGTAAGGACGATAGTAAGAGAGGAAGGATCATCAGCTCTGTGGAAGGTGACATCGGCCTCTGATCTTTTGTCACCGTTTTACGTTTCGCCGATCGATGATAACCGAATGTGTTTGATCTTTCGTTCCGTATTAACAAAGGGCATCGGTCCAAGAATACTGTGGATTGGTGTCGGAGGCTCGATTTTCTTCGGAGTTCTTGAAAAGACGAAGCAGATTCTTTCGGAGAGGAAACGAGACAGTCATAAGCTGAACTCTTCCTAATCTATAGATTGCAGCTATCATCATCATCATCATCATCATCATCATCATCATCATCATGTCTTGTCCTACGGATGGGTTCATTTCGGGAAAAAAAGGAGATCGAAAAAGATCGAAAGTCCATTTGACACGAGTTGATGTTTTTGGTCTAAATTGTAATTGTGAAGATGCTGAATAAAAATGTCATCTACTTCTTTTGATGATAGGTTAACAGCCACGTGTCATGAATATTTGTGAAAACTGTGGGCTCGGCCATTGAGCCGAATCATACCTGTCCAATAGAATCTGATCCAACTTTGGGCCCAAGGGTATACTCGATATTATGAGTTCCAGGTAGGGGTATAATGGTCTATAAATTACTGGGATGGCCATAACCCTACTGACCCTATATAACAGCCGCTCAAAAACCCTAATATACACTTTTTTTGAGTATAATCTGGAGAGATCGTGTTACTGCTCGACGAGATCTTTCTCTTCTCAGGCAGCTTCTCTGTGAATCACGATGGTAAGTAGGGTTGGGTTTCAACATTATTTTTCCCTTCATTCTCGTGTTATCTAAGTATCGCTTTACACTTTGATTTGCGGCGTGGATCGATAGCTGTTGCGTATTTCCTTGTGCTTTCACTAGCTTGGTGATATGTTGCTGCCAGTTTTCGAGTTTTTCTCCCCATATTCTTGAGATTTGAAAGGCCAAATTCGTTATGCTTCCTTCGGAAAGTGTCGGAATTTTTGTTATTATCTCGAATCTAGGATTAGTGGGAAAATTATGCTAGTATCGCGAATCCGGAGTCGAGGAACAGCAAAAGGCTATAACTTTGAGTGTTTGGTTTCTTACCCCTAAACTACCTGGAGTATTTGTAAATGGGATTTTGCCAAGTTCTGATTGGGTTGAATGCGTTTGTTTATTGGTCTGCTGAGGTGGTTTTGGCTTGGTTCTGATTCGGTCTGAATGTGTTCCTGTGTAGTCTCTGGTTGCGAACGAGGACTTCCAGCACATTCTGCGTGTGCTGAACACTAACGTTGATGGTAAGCAGAAGATTATGTTTGCCCTTACCTCTATCAAGGGTATTGGGAGGCGATTTGCTAACATTGTCTGCAAGAAGGCCGATGTTGACATGAACAAGAGGTTTGCTCTTTTTCTTTTCTGAATTCGTCTTCTGATAATACTCTTTTTGGTGACATTGGAGGGAACATCTAAAAGATAGATTGGGAAGGATTCATTATACATCCATACTCGTCGAGGATTCTTGTCTCTGTCATATATATTCCCTGTAATTTCAATGTGGATTTTCCTGTAATTCGCAGTTAATGGTACTGGTCCAAATTTATTGGCAAATAGAGAGTTCTGTTTTTCTTTATCTGATTCCTTTGCTATATCTTCGTGCCAGGGGAAATATGTTTGTTATAAACTCTTGAGTCGGGTCTGCAGCATATTATTTCCCGTAGGCTATGTCTGTTACCAACTCTGTGGTGATAGTGTCATCTTATATGTTCTGTTGCATTTACAGGGCCGGTGAGTTGTCTGCAGCCGAACTTGACAACCTCATGACAATCGTTGCAAACCCCCGTCAGTTCAAGATACCCGACTGGTTCCTGAACAGGCAAAAGGACTACAAGGATGGCAAGTTCTCCCAAGTTGTCTCCAACGCTCTGGACATGAAACTCAGAGACGACCTGGAACGTCTCAAGAAGATCAGGTAAAACAAATAGCAAAGTCATTGAAGTCGGTACAGTTTCTTTGGTGTCTTCTAACGGTGGATTCTGTTTTCGCGATGTGCAGAAACCACCGTGGTCTGAGGCACTACTGGGGTCTCCGTGTCCGAGGGCAGCACACCAAGACAACCGGTCGTAGAGGAAAGACTGTCGGTGTTTCCAAGAAGCGTTGAGGGAGTTTTTTCTAGTTGCTACCAATGATATGGGCATTGCTTGATGAAGACCGGTTTTAGTTTGTTGGTTCCCCGTACAATTTTGAGTCATTTATGATCGAATGAGAAGTCTTTCTTCTTCATATGGATTTTGGGCCTTTTATGTTTGTTGGGAGCTTTTTATGTTCATCATTACACTGTTTCTCTGCAAGGTAATGTTACATCTCTCTAGTTATTCTCTCATATTATTCTAAGTATACTTGCTGCAATCGTTGGAAATCTGGAAATGCCAATTCGTACGTTAACGTGATATCTCGAGATGCTTAGGTTACAAGGAAAACCCTTACTTGTGAAGGAAGAAAGCCTTGTAGCCCTAACTTGGGAAGGAAGAAAGCCTGGTAACCCTACTGCAGACAGAGAGAGAACTTGAAAGTATGAATAATAATATCCAAGATTTTCATGTAATTATCAATAGCGTAAATATTCAAATCACAGATAGCAATCGGTATACATTCAGATACGACGACGTATTTTAAACCCTAATTATTAATATATATGCATGTATTTTGTTGTGATTGGTTCTCGAGAAACCTTGCGCTCCGTTTATTTAGTCCAAAATCCAAATGATATGCTTATATAAAAAAATAATAATTAATTAATTTCATGCCGCTCT